AAAAAAAAAAAAAAAAAAAAAGAGAGAGAACCGGAAACTAACAACATATCTATACAGACAATAGGCAAATCAAAAACCTCCACCACGAGGCCCAATATAAACTTTCAAGACACATGACTTCATCCGAACCACCAGTTCTACAATCGATCAATGAGACTCTTAGTAGCATTCCACCAAGAGAACTGCCATTCACAGAGAATAAGATAAGAATAAGTCTACAGCTTAACCCCGATCAGTTTAATGTACAGACTACAATCAACGTGCACGCATTTAGGGCACTGACGAACCAACATCCCAATCGACCCTTCATAGAGTATTTGATAAAGGGCATTACAAAGGGTTTCAGATTTAATTTCACAGGGCCACGGACAAAGTTAGTCCAACCAAACCTCAAATCTATCGACCTTGAACTTACGGCTCTTGAGAAATACATACAAGAAGAGATAAGTAAAGGCCGCATATGCGGCCCCTTTACTGAAGAACTACCACCATGTGATTTATACCAGATTAACCCATGCGGTCTAGTCGAAAAAAAAGAGGACAAACCCCAAAGTATACAGGGTTATATCCCACCTGTCTGCTCCCTTCGGATCAAGCATAAATGATGGAATTGATGGTTTAGAATTTGCAACAAAGTACGAGAATGTGAACCACGCAATAAGGTGGATCAATCTATACGGCAGAGGATGTACTTTGTCAAAAATAGACATAAAAGATGCTTACCGAATATTACCTGTACACCCTGTCGATCAAGTCCTACAAGGTATGGGATACAAAGAGAAATTATACTTTGACAAAGCACTAGCCTTCGGAAACAAAGCGTCGGGTGGTATTTTTTGTAGGTTCGCAGACGCAGTTACATGGATAGCATCAAATCAGGGTATAAAATCGATAATACACTACGTAGACGATTTTTTGATTATTTCAAAATCCGACGGTAAGAAAGAACTCCAACAGTTTCTTCGGATATTAAACATAATCAATGTACCATTTAAAGAGTCGAAACTAGAAGGTCCAGACACAGAAATCACATTTCTTGGCATATTAATAAACACTGAAAGAATGTCAGTATCAATCCCACCAAACAAAAAACAAAAAATTAAGGAGCTGTTATCCGTATGGACTT